TTGAAAATCAGTGAAAAGGACGTTCAGCGCAACGAAACGTTGAAATAAGGGCGAAAATGCAAAAAAATGGAACGTAGGGACGTTTTCCACAATAAAGGTCAAACGTAGGGACGTTTTGCGCTATTAAGCCATTAAACAAATATTAAACATCAAAAATATGGGATAAGAAAATTTATTCCAAACCAAATAAGGTCTTAAAGAGAATCATAGAATTGAACATATGTTTGCAATAACACACATCAGAACTCCCTGATACAGCATAAGAAGTTCTAAACATCCATGAACTTACAAACACAAAAACATAGGATGCACATTATTAATAATTGATAAAACTGAAATTCGAACTCGGCAGCAGCTCAGAAACAATTCCACGAAGCCCTATGCCTGCAAGAAGGAAGTGACTGTAAGAAACTGAACAGCGGATCGACACTGTCAGATAAATACATCTACAGAACTTGCCTTTTAAGGAATGGTTTTAGAGAGCCAGTCTAGACCCTCGTAAAGCCCATTTCCTGATGTGGCACTGGTGCTCTGGATGTACCTGGAAGCAAGCGAAACCAAGGTAAAAAATAATAAACAAAGACCAATAAAGAACCAAGATTTAAGAGCATAGTGCTTACCAGCGATGCCTCCTCAGCGAGTACAGGCCAAGCTTTTCTGTTATTTCAGCAACAGTCATTACATGGGGCAGATCTTGTTTGTTGGCAAATACGAGTAATGGAACATCTCCCAGCTCATCCTGAATTTGAACCAACTTGCCAACATAAGTACGTGATGTCTAACGATTTTAATGCACACTAGCATCAGAAATGGCTAATAGCAGCATCATTTAAGTGTAATGCTTAGGATACCTCTCTACCCTTAGGGCCAACCCTGCAAATAAGTGTGTTTTTTGCACTTATCCAGGCCATATTACTAAACTTTTATATCGACAAAGTGTTGATTTCTACTTAATTTCGTTTAATTTCTTTTTGTTTCAGTTGCAGACCCCCTTTTAAGCATTTGGAAAAGAAAGAAAGATGATTTGGCCATTGGATGGAATGTAGACTAATTTGCACATGAATAGAAGTTGAAATACCAAAATGCGTAATTTAAAGTGAATGATCAAAATTTATGTAGAGAATGAAATAACGGACTAAAGTGCAAAATTTGGTGATTGAGATAAAGGGAATAGCTATGGAAATTCATGAATCCTAACACTTAACAATCATATCAAAAAATTATCTTTTATTGTTTTCATATAATTAAAATAAAGATATCACAAAAATAAGACAAACTATTTCTATTAGTTTTTTATCGAATCGAAGTGAAAAATAATTTAATCAATGGTAAGTCTACTCTAATATATTATTTGTTACAATCCGTACACTCGTGGGATATAAAATCGACAACATAGGAACTTTTAGGATTTAGAGATTAGGTCAAAGACTATTATGATTAAAATTTAAATAGGTATTCAAAGACTATTATGATTAAATAGGTATTAAGGAAAACAATATTAGATTTGATAATTTGATGAGCTTTGGTGTACGTTTAAAATTTTCCTATTTTGATCTACTGACATTCTGTTAGATTTAAATTCTTTAGGGATCTTCGCCCCCAAAATTCTTCTTATTCTTCCCAATTTCTATGCGTGAGCATGCAAGTGTTGCATTCATTAATTTCTGTTTGTGTTTCCATAGAATAAGAGTGAAGATAGGAAATTTACATCTTTCAACATCTTGTGCAGTTCATCCCTTGCCTCCACAACACGATCCCTGTCATTGCCGTCAACCACAAATATGATCCCCTGGGTGTTTTGGAAGTAGTGCCTCCACAGTGGACGGATCTGTGAAATGTGAAAGTTTCTTCCGTGCTCAGAATGACCAGAATCACAGGAAGCCCTTAAATATTAAACATTGACTCAAACATGATGAAAATAAAACTTCCCACCTTGTCTTCACCACCGAAATCCCAAATAGTGAAGTTGATGTCATCGTGCTCAAAAGTCTCGACGTCAAAACCTGCATATGAATATGATAAATATCAGAAACAGGTACCAAGATAACGGTAACTGAAAGGAACAGAGTTGCTAAGTTTGGATATACCGATGGTAGGAGAGGTAGTTAAGATCTCTCCATGCTTAAGCTTGTTCAGGATGGTGGTTTTACCAGCAGCATAAAGACCAACCATTAGAATGCGCAGTTCCTTCTTGGGAGAAACCCGGGTGAAACCCTTCGTGAATGTCTGCCTCATTTCTGCTTCAAAATTTTTGATCTATGATTTATTAACGGATTTGATTGTTTATATAGGCTTTGGGACTCGCACTGTCGATAATTGACTTATGCATTTACAGTGTCGATAATTGACTCGTATTTTTGCTCCATTGTTCCCTACGTATAACCGTTAGATTGATTTGTGCATTAACCATTAGATTATCAAGTAGAAACAGTTTTTAGGACCCACCATCGTTTTCTGGCCGTTGACTATAAGACTTTTAACAAGGATGCTGCCACGTGTCCATTCTGGTTTTAGCCAAAAATATGAACGCGTTGACAATGTCTGATGCTGCCATTAGATTATCAGATACTCTTTTTTTTTTTTTTTCTAATGCAGCCAGATTCATTCTTTTTTTTTTGTTTTCCTAATGGGTGCAGCCAGATTCATTCTTTTTTTTTTGTTTTCCTAATGGGCACCAGATTAATAAGTCTAACACCACCGTTTTTTTCCCGTGTTCTGAAGACTGAAATGAACTCCATTAAGAAATCTATGTTTCGCTTTCAAGAATATTTGACTAAATTGCCTAAGTGCTTGTTCCTAAAAGCGGTTAAAAAGTTGATGTTAACAATTAATCTTAATTACAAATTTTTTGAAATTACAATTTTCATCAACTTTTTTAATTAGTTTATTAACTTTAATCAAAATATACTAAATTCTTATTAAAAGCACTGTCAAACAACCCTGAATTCCACAGTATAACCACTGGTGGAAACCAATTTTTTTTTTTTTTAAAATAAAGTCATGTTTGATATCGATTTAATCTAAATTAAAGTTAACAATTAATTTTAATAACATATTTTATGGAATCCATAACTGTTTAATTTTTATCAAAATTTACTAAAAATCTGATTTTAATCTTCAACAAATAGGGGCAAAATCATAATGAATTTGATTTTTTTCTTTTTTCTTTTTCCCTTTTCCCTCTTACTCTTTTCCTCGCGTCTTTCAACAAAAATTTAACCATTTTAATTTATGTATAATTTCTCTACAAATTTTTACTTTCCAATCAAATTTTCAAGTAATTAGAACCTAAATTTGCATTTTTTTTTTCTAAACTCATTATATCCAATTTAACTTAGATTTAACGAATTGTATTTATTTGATTAATTATTAGTATTGAATATTAGTTATATGTTTTTCCTTTCGATTATTTGAATTGATTGTTTGTATCAAATACATTATAAGATTTTTAAACGTAAATATGCATTTTCTTATGATTAATAAAATAACTCTTCGAAATCAAATAGATGAAAATGATTGGCAAAATACTAATGAATAAATAGTTTTTAAATGTAAATCTGCATTGTTTTGAGTCAAGTATGAATTATTCAAAAATCAAGAACAAAATATTTGATTTGTACATGATTTGATTATACCCCTAACTCAAAATGTCTGTGTGTGTCCGCACTAGTGTATGACCTTGTATACAAGAAAAGCTATACATAGACAATTATATTCCACAATCCACTTACAATATTAAATACAGTGTTTCCTAGTACCTTGTTCAGTGCAAGAGAAAAACTGACCAAGATAGTGAAAAATGAAACCTTGAGATCTTGATAACACTTGTCGACTACGTTCTTTTAAATGATGCAAAGATCTACTTGCTAAAGCAAATGCATTCCCCACCACCAACTACGCTAACTGCAAATGCTTTCACAAATCATCAATATATCTCTGCATCCTTCAGTAAAGATCAAGCAGAGGCATTTAAACATCTCGTCCTAGATATTCACCGAGTTTATCCCATCTGTTGAAGCACGGAGTTTGAAATCCTTTGCTGTTGCAAGACAAGGTAAACATTAAAACTCAAAACATATCAATAACAAAAATCAGCCCCAACAACTCTCAACACTTTTCTATGTCGTCCCAGCCTACAGGGCGAGGCCACAAACTCAGCTCGAGGCATGTCAAATAAGAGAGATTCAAATACTGAAATTTCACTTAGAATACAATGGGCGAAACCAACTTGGAAGGAATAATAAACCAACGGAATCCAAGGTATTGAACCATGAATTTCAGTTAAATTCAAGCCAGCAGTTAATTCAGATTGAATTTTTTTTTTTGAATCTCAAATAACGGAAGAGTAGTTTACATATATATACCACAAATAGTTCTTACCCAAATGGAACTTTTATTCCAATTCCTTCAGGGCATAACAATGAGGAGCCAGCTCAGCTAACCACAAGTAATCTATTCTAGAAATGTTTCGAATATAATTATAATTAGTTCGGACTGATTCATCAAAAAGTATGCACTCTGGTTTCATCCGGAATAAAACAGATGATGGATGGATTTGCACTGTAAGACAAAGCCCTGTCATAGCATAAACAAGATGCATAAATTGACTTTTCTCAAGGATATTGTGATCTTAACAAATATAGGTATTACCTCCAAAGTAAATTAAATCACTATAGGAAGTACCACCAAAAATGTATACTCCTACCTGCATGTACCATCAGGCTGCTTCGAAGCTGCATTAAAAAAAGGAAGCAGCTAGGCACCTGCGAAAAGGAAGCATATCGTCTCCACATGAAGTGACACGGAGACCCATTTGTTCTGCATTCCTCCGTATTTGACTACAAATGAAGTGCCAAATGAACCTTAGAAATAGATATCTAGAGAAACGTCATTCGGAGAAAAACAACAAGTTTTCTCCACCAAAAGAAAAGGAGGAAATAATGCCAAAATAATAATGTATAGCCTGCCTTTGAGATATCATGGTTCGAAACTAAATCTTAGGAAGCCTGATAATATGGACACGTTAATAATTATAGAGCAATTTCAATTAAAAGAAGGTTATAATCAGGAGTACTATTCAGGTAACTGCGAGGTTTGCCATTAATTTCTGGCCAAGTGGACATTACCAACCTGTGGATGTCACGAGCATGCTTCAGGGACCGGCTATTGATAAAATTTTCCTTGCACCATTTTCTGAGATTTTTTTCAGCTTTTTCTTTACTATTCACTAAGTTGCTCTTCTGCAAGAACTCGTCAGAAGCACGATATACATTCAGCAAAGTCAAATGATCCGCCTCCGGACTTGAGAAGCTTCTCAAAGCAATTCGAAACTGCAAAACGGAAAGGAGTTTTAGATATGTGCTCACAAATAACAAGCTGTAAAGTATAGCATTAAGAAAATAAAGTGAATCAAACAAATTCTAAGGTTAAGACAAAATCTCTCCAAATAGATATACATATTTGCCAGACAAATTTTCTGTCATTCTATGCTTGTTTGGTAGGGTAGACTATACAATAGATGACATAAGAAAGAAATGGAAGTTAAAATCTTGTGTGTATTGTACCATTGAGTCATGCATTGTCTAGTAGTGTGCACCAATCATGCTCTTAAAGCATATATCATTGAATGCGAGACTTTAGAAGATCCACATCCATACCTCTTCCAACTTTTCATGGGGGAGCATAGAAGATAGATTCCACAGAGAGCGTTGCAACAACTATTGACATTTCTTCCAAACAGTTAAATTCACTAACAATAATGAGAGCCTTGGAATAAATAGGATCCGGTGGAAGCCTGGCCATCTTTTGCCCAACTGGATAAGACAATTTACTTGCTTCCGTTAGAGCACCTGACAGGAATAACAACTCCATCGACTTGATGATAACAATCCTGTATGGATATGTAAAAGGCATGGTTAAAATCAATCTGAGATGAATTCTTATACAGCACATGTTAGATTATTCAAAAGTCCAGATATCAAAAACCAATGGCAATTAAGATGCAGATTATTTTATAACCATACTAAAGAAAAGTGTTGCGGGCAATAAAGAATAAACCTTCAAACAATATGTAAAAAAGCAAGCATTGGATTGATGGAATTAACACTGAATACTAGTTAAATCAAATAGGAATTCAGCTATATAAATTAATAACTTGAAATGGTGTAAGTTATGCATGAGGCACTAAACAGGCCAATAATAGCTTTAAGGTTTTCTTACAATCGTTGTTAACTTTTCAAAGCTCAAACAGTTGCAATTCTCTACAATTTTCATCCCCTAGAAAATCAACTGTTTCCATTAGTACCATTAGCATTCTCAGAAACCAACAACTTTCAAAATGAAAATTCACACAAGGTCCCAAATTAGACTATCAAATGAAATTTATAGAGTACATTATAGAGTAAAACAAGATAATCATAAACATATTCTTATTTGACATAATCACCGAGCAAATCATGGGTATAGACAACAAGAGCTTTAAGATGCAAAATAACATATCTGGTTATGATGCAAAATCCATTGTCATACACTCATACTCACCTATCTGGTTGTTCTATGAAGTCAAATCCAATAATATCACCAATGCCTAGAGCCTTAAGATGCAAAATAACATTTGATAGGTTACATCTTTTGATTTCAGGCATTTCCCAGGTCCTTCACGTCCTGCACGTCCACTGTAACAGAATTAGTATGACATATCTATTTATTGTATATATTGGCAAATAAAGAAAGGTTTACCATTCAATACTTTCTTCAGTTGCCCTTTTAGCCATGCTTAATGGGCTGAGGGGATGTAATGAATTCGTGACAACAAGATGTAATTTGAGTACCCATTAAATTTTAATTTAAATGATATTAGAAATTAGATTCATCTGAATTGATTGTTTTCTTAACATCTCTCTTTGGGAGAATCCACATTCAATGAGTTAATCACGTATTATTTGGAAAACGGAGTTAGCTCTGCGACACTATCTGACTTAACGTACTCTCTTGCAGAACACACTGACACAATGAAATAAGCTGAGCCCATTTAATGGCCCAGATACCAAAAGAAAAAATCAAATTTCTCAAATTTCCCTCAGGTATAAATGTAGGAAAAATTCATTAGCTCTACCTCCCCTGAAGTGCTTGTGCTTTTGAAGTTTTGAAAATGATTAATGGTTCAATCCCTGTTGATGCCTCATATGTGCGTACTTTCACCATTCCAGGTTCAATGATATACTTGATTCCTGGTATTGTCACGGATGTCTCAGCAATATTGGTGACTAATATTACCTGAACAGCACACAAGCAGACAAAAAATTGGTCAAATTCATAAGACCGGAGGATTTTCAGGGCTTCCAAAAGATCACGACTGTAGGTGGACAAAAACACTCCACTTCCTGACAAAATCCAGGAACTTTTTTCCTGTATAGTATTTGTGCCATGAGAATGTTCATTAACAACAAAAACTGGACAGTTCCTGTATCAGAAAATATTCTAAATGATGCTCGGCTTGCCAACCATACTTTTAGTATAGTTGCTGGGTACTTAAAACGTCTACATTTATTATAATACTACATATAACAGACATGGGCACAATTTCAACAAAGAGGTAGCATTTGCCTTATCCAATCAACATCTCATAAACGTTTAATGTATTTTTTTCTCTTAGGGTGACAAGTAACAACATGCAACTTTAAATACTTATATGTCCACATTAATGTTTCAAGCCAAGAAACTTGCATAGAATATCTTGTCAGAAGAAAATAAATACCTTACGGAACCCAACTGGGACAGGTGTGAAAACTTTCATTTGTTTCTCTGAAGGAAGAGACAAAGAAAAAAAAAAAAGACAGCAACAAAACTGTTGAGCATGATTTCGGAGAAAAATTGAGACCACCATCATATAGGAGAAAAACAAAAGTTTGAAGCTAAACTAAATTTTACATGAAAATGCAAGATATTGGAAAGAAAAAGTAAAAAGGCACAATACACTGAATATCTCTTACATATGGGAGGAGGGGAGGAAAGTTGGAATTTACTCCAGTTCTGAAAAAACTTCTCTTGCAATTAACTTGAACTAATTGGAAAACTGCAATAATGAATAAAAATGTACAAGTATAAAAAAAAATTAAATTATCAATTATCTGAAGACACAAAAATATATGTTACTATGATTTGATGATAACAATGGGCAATTAAGAAACCATCACATGTTTAATATAAATCAGATAAAAAGTAGGTTCAAAACAATGTAATCAGAGAGGGAAATACATGCAATTCACAATCCAATTAATCTGATTATTAAATATTCTCTTCTAGGTTGTATTTACTTTCAATCTTTTCTCTAGGTGAGCTAAGAAATAAAATTCTTACGAATTCTCAATATTGTTACCCTTTTAAATCCCTCCAAAAGCCTTTTAAAATAAAATATAAATACAATCCTACGGTTAAAGAAAGTAAATATAACAATCAAAATAAAAAATAAAGTTTGCTAATTTTTATGTTTAGCTTTGTGTTAGCTCTGGAACACTATGTAGGAAAACGAATATACAAAAGATTACTCAACTTTGAAGTTCTATGGAAATGTAGCCACTGCTCCTTTCTGTAATTCGATTCAGTCTAAAAGATCAAACTTAGCAAAACTGTCATGTTCATTTCAATGTTTCCAAAAATTATATTAGATAAGTTTAATATGCAATCAGGACACAAATAAGACCGAGTAAAAACCTGAAATATGGTGATCAAAGTTGCATCTACATAATCAGTCTCAGGTTGACTAGTATAGAGTATATCAACAGGATACTGTTGACCATGCACAGCTCCTGCACCACCAAAATACTCAGAAAAAACCCGTGCGTCCAGACTGGCAGACATAATAATAATCTTCAGTGGAGACGATTTCTCGCCTCGCCACTGCTCCCCAACACTGGCAACTACAAAATCGTTGTGTTTTTCCAACATCATGCCATTCTTGGCATCTTTATGATCAATATTTACTGCATCCCTGACACGTTGAGACCTCGTCTTTTGTTGAGCAATGCATCTGTGTGGACGGTTCTCTCAAGAGCCTCATCAACGTTAATAACAGAATACTTGGAGAGGTAAGGATCCAGTAATGCTTCCCTGTAAACATATTGAGACATAATCTGTTAGTTGATTAAATGATACTCTTTCTAAGGATACTTAGCTCCAATAAGTAACATGCAGTATTACTGAGTGAATAGCAATATTTTAAAATAGACTGTTAGCACACGCTCTATACATCCAATTTACATCTGCAAATGTAAATTCAAAGACATAAAAACAACTACTAATACTTTCAACTTTTTAGCTAATACAGTCTGAATAAAAAGAAAAAACATAAAAACACAAATAATTTCCACCTTAATAGCAATCTGTCTGTCATGTATTTGATCCTTGTTGAGCTGGAAGTCACATCCTCAAATCTAATGGCATATCCAACTATTTGGCCCAATGAAACTCAACATTCTTCAGCAAACCGTTTTGCAACAGTTACAGCAGCAACACGTCTAGGTTGAGTTATCCCAATGATTCCACCATTGCAGCAGAACCCACCATTATTAAGACTGGGGCAACTCTGAGATGATGTTCATATTTTCACATATGAGTTCGAGATGAACAATAAACAGCTAAAGTGAAGTAATTTGTTAATGAGTCAAGCAAAGTCGTAATAAAGAGCATTTTAAGTCCTTAAGTCTAAGTATTGAGTCAACATTAATCTGAAAACAAACTGCATGAATGTACGTGTATAATCTACATAGCTGCAGAAATTATTGAGGGGTCTCAAATTTATTTCTGACATGCGCTTACCTGGAAAGATAAACAGTGATAAATACTGTGATCTTTAAGGCCATCCAAAGTCAACTCAGCCATCAATCAATAAAGAAATCTTAAACAGAACAAGAGAAACTGTTTTTTGCCCAGCCTTCCAATATCTAGTTGCAGCCCATTTTATTCTTTTGGGGGAAATTTAGGGCAGTGCAGTGGATTCCAGGCGGGAAGAAGCAAGGCATAAACCAAAAGTAATTTGAAGACAGAGTATGGATCATAACACCATTCTAATATTTTCCCTCTTCTAATTCCTATACTTTGCTCTTCACACTCCTTTTGTAATGATAATTTTTACGAATCTTCCAATCGTGGTCTGTAGTTTTTCTACACTTTCCTCCTTAAATCATGGTATCATACATATGGTTTAGCTCTTTGGGTAAGCAAACAAATAAATCTTCCATTTTCTCTAACATAAGAGCTAGACATGACAAAAATACAGCCTAACTACTCAATCATAGGCCAACAATTAAGGGAATGACTTTTGGACACCTATAAAATATATTATAAATGCATTAACGGAAAGTCGGAAATATTGTATCCGCGTGAGCTGCTCGTGTCCCTATGTACATCTATGCGTAAAACAGAAAGAAACCAATGAAAAGACAATTATATGAATACAGATGAATTGAGACTCAATTATGGCAAATATTCTTTAAAAGTTCTTAACACTTTTCTTTCACTTTTTTGATAAGTAAAAGCGGTATTATAAGAAACTTTTCAGTGCACATCCAATCTACATCTATCTGTGTATCAGTAAAAAAGCAGTAAAATTTTCACCAAATGAATCAAATTGTTGAGCACTAATATATCCAGGAAATTGGTACACAACTTACGATGAAAGACAACCTAGACTGAAGTAGATATTGGACTTCAACCATAGAAAACTAAAATTTCAGCTAGATCTTAAAGGCTTAAAATACTTACGTGTCGTCTTCCCACTGCCCCTTTTAGATGCTTAAACAAGAAAACCCAACGTGATAACAAAAAAACTCAATAAAGTTGAATTGCACCTATGTTAGATGGATGTTCAAGTAATACAAGTCAACCTGCAGTGGCACTCTTCTAAAAAACAATATAACAAATATATAAAACACAATATAACCTTGAGGGGTTGCTCAATTGGTCGGGCCTTGGGTTTGCTCCCCAATGGTCATCAGTTTGAGTCCCCTCAGGGCCACTGGGGTGAGTACCGGGTCGTAAACTTCAGGGTCCCGTGGAATTAGTCGAGGTGCGCGCAAGCTGACTCGGACATCCACGGTTATCAAAAAAATAATAATAATAAATAAATAAATAAAACACAATATACATGTAAAATAAAAACTAGAAAGAAACTTCCCAGAACTGTCTATTCATAAATAAAAATGACAAATATAATGCTTAAACCTTGACAGGTGCAGATTTGATGAGGACAAAACTATTTACATCTAGAAAAGATCAAAGATCCGCTAGCTGCCTCTCTTTTACTATAAGAGAAGGGACATTCTGGATTCTATGCCTCCAACTCATTCTGCCTCATTCTAAGCTGCCTTCTATTATCCAGACATGTATCTCATAATTCATAATATTGACTCTACAAGCTTCCATAGCCGCCAAATATAAGGTAACTGTCGAATTACTTCCCATACATTATATTTCTGAATCCCATTACTTCCAGATGATTTATTAATTTTTTCACATCCTTTCAACAGAGAAAAAACCAACTTTTTGACCCCCAAGAGTTCTTACCTTAATACGAGACAATTCGAAACAGCAAACTTGTTCAAGATCTTTTTAATTGACAACATGCAAAATTTTCTATTCTTGTTAATTATTTTCAATCATTATCAATCTTCAACCCAATCAGCCAATATAAGTCAAATATAAAGCTCCAGTAACCATCCAAAAATTAAAAACCGGAAGCCAAACAATATGAGTAAAATCATATGGCTAGGAACCTTACAGCCAGACAGTAAAATTAACAACATTGTTAAAAGAAAAAAATGGAATTGCACGGCAATTGGTTGAAGTAAAAGCGAAACAAGAGAATTTTACCTGCAGCAATTGGCAGGGATTTTCTCTGCTGTTCAATATTTTGCCTCCTGCAAATTTTTTTCCTTTTCAGTAAAACACAGGAAATAAGAACAAAGTATTGATGTATTGTGTATACAAAACTTCAGTCCTGCATTGAAACGGACCTGGCAAAGTACTCTTCTTTAGGTCTCTTAAGTTGATATTAGAATTATGTTGGCTCCGTGTAGAGTTACCGGAATCCATTAAGGCATTGGAACAAAGGTTCGGGCGTCGCGGTGGTGACGGCGGTGATCGGTGATAACGAGTTCAGCTGCTGTCGTGTTCGGGTATAGCAACAATTGGTTTTTTCTGTTATATTGTGTTGGGTTCATATTTCAAATTGGGGTTAATCCATTTGTACATGGATCAGAGAAATACTACACTTACACTACATAATCCTCTCAAATGTGTGTGCATCGTGACCTCCACAGTCCACACACATACGAGAGAGTTGTGTACCAATTGTGTACAAGTAGCAAATTTGAATGAATTATCACATTTTATATAATGCGCGGGGCCCGTGTATATTTAAAAATTCCGACAATGGTCTCCATCTCATTGTGAGTAGTAAGTAAAAGATTCGATACATGTAACATAATCCTTCAAATTGTGCCATTTTTCGGATAGGTGGCCGTGGCATTGGGCCTGTTCTGCAACAGTTATAATGGCCCGTTTTACATGACCCATTTGGCAAGAATTTTAAAAAGTCGAGGTACTTCTAAATCTACAAATTTGCTTTTATACATATTTAAATAATTTTTAAAAGAGCTTTATCCAACCAAAAAACCTTTTTATGTAGAGCCGTACCAAAAGGGGCTAACATCCCCCTTCTATTGAATTTTTTTAAATTTTTATTTTTCACTCTACACGTGAATGGCACATGAAGACGTTACACTTGTAGGCTTCATAACGATTAAAGTTTTTAGAGTAAGTAGTTCAACAAATTAATGGTCAATCAACTTTTTCATTTATTAGAGATAATGATTCTTTTTTTTTTTTGATTAATACAATTTATCGAAACCTAGATAATCAATCATTGTATTGAAAACGAAGTCCTTGGTACAAACTCAATAATAATAATAATAATAATAATAAGAGTACCAAAAAAATGGAGGAGCATGATGTTTCCAGGCTCCAATTTCTGGTCATGACCGACTGAAGCAACATGGTAGTACAAAATGGTGTCTTAAATCTCCTTGGGCACTCATCAGCAAGATAAAGAGTTAAACGAGGTTCTTGTATACAGGGCTTCTAATTGAAGGCATAATGTCCTTGTGGAGACATTTCCAAAGCCAGCCGAATTCTGTCCCTGTCTCGATACAAGCTTTATCAAACTAGTGTGCTCGTAAAACTCCAGAACGACACATACAGTTTCATAGCCTCATGGCAATGTTTCTAGTTTGATGGCCTATATATCACTGCACTTCCTGCTGATGCTTGGTTTGCTGAACGATTACTTCCAAAGTTTTGTCGATTTGATTCCCTTGCAATCCTAGAACCAAACTGAAAAACGAATAGGGAAAAATGTAAGATGATCATCAGCACAAACCACTTCTGTAAGAAAGTGTTGCCTGTAAAATACAGTTTTTGTGCAGGGTATAAAAAGTCAGAAGGATCACTGAAGCCACAAGACAAACTATTGTGAACAGAAATACACACCTGGATTGCCCTTTTGGGCAGAATAGCAGCTTCGTTCAGTCCAAGCAGTCGGGCAACCTGCAAATATAGTCACATAAATTAATCATTATAGACTAATATGCTGAAATAGAGAAAATAAAATAACAGAGGTATTTTTCTTGATATTATCAAATAAAAAATCCTTCAAAACGCAAGATATATTGATACAATCTTCTACTTTTCAGCTCGATATATTCAGTTAAACGTGTACTTCACCATTTCACATATTGGAGAGAGAATTCTACCCTCTGTTAACCCAACATTGAACGTATCATCCGTACCCAGGACTCGACAAATCAAGACTGATGTCAAACCATAAAAAAAAATGACTCCTTGACGCCCTATACGTCTCAAATATTAAGCTACCACCATAATTTACTAAACATCATAAAAAGATGTATGTTTGTTTATATCACTTTTCAATTACCACAGATCTTCTAAATCCAGTAATCTGATTTTTCTTCAGATGCAAAGTTACTTGAAATGTCTTTACATACTCTAATGTTATTTTATTAAATTTATGAATAGCATATCCCCATACATATCCAAAGTCAGTACACTTTTTGACCCAAGACCCTAGCCCTTAGAATTTGACAGTTCACATGTCCAACACAAATCCATGCACATAATAAACGCCTGTATCTGAACCCTAACTAAATAGCTCTTCGCAATAGCATCAAATGATACATGGCGGTGTGCATTGTAAAGATCCAAACGATACCTCTACATCGGGATCAATTTGATGCTCATGTTCTAAACGGAAAAAATGAAAAAATAGAGATCAACTTGATTTATGATATTATTGCCTCAAAGAAGAGCTTTCGTGTTTTTTTCCTTCTGAATGAGATCTTGGTAGATAGATACTTGCAACCTGACACTTCAAAATGGACTTTTAAAGTAAATAAACAGGGTCAAGGAGAGACCAATATTCACTAGAAGAACCTGTTTCGCATTTGTTCCAGATTCAACAATAAGCAACAAAAACTCGGTGCTCTTGCAGCTAATTTTCACCAAGAGGGGCACATTAATAAAATGTCTCTTAAGGATAAAAATAATTGAAACTCATGAATTCAATTCCACAAGAATCAAGATGCTCCACTTTATTACAAGTCTTTTCCTCAACATGTCATAACATAAAGATCTCCTAAAAGATAAAATTTGACAGAACAAATGAGAGAAAAGAAATAGGCTCACCTCTCTCAGAATTTTTTTATCACCTGTTCCACTTGGTTGATTAAGGTCAGCAATCTCCCATAGAGGAATATCAAGCAAAATCCTTATAACATCTTCATCCAGAAATGGAAACCTCGCCTTAT